TCATAAAAGGGTCATTTCAGGATTGGATGTGTAAGGTTCCAACCCAGCTGAGTTTTACTACCAGTTACAATAGTTATTGCAGGTAGTCCAGAGGTCTCAAACGCTCAGCCTGAGGGCCATCCCCAGCCAGAGCTGTTTCACAGTCCAGCCTGGAAGTCCAGTTGGGCTGGGTGGGGAAGGGCTGCCCCCATTCCCTTCACCCAAGCCCCACCCCTTCCTGCCACTGCTCTCTCTCCTCTTGGCACTCTGCTTTGGGGTTATCGGGGGAGCCTGGCACAAGGTGGCAGTCACAGTCAAACCTCCCTGTGGCAAAGCAGCGTATTTGCACCCTCCAAGTACACTCCGCTTCACATAGCTCTCTGCTGCTGCCCTGCACCAGGCTCCTCCAGTAATCCCCGAAGTCACATTCTGCGGGGAGAGGGTGAGGCAGTGGTGGGAGGGGTCTTGGGTGACAGGGACAAAAAGGGCCCCTGTGCCAGACTGCATAACTGCTCTGGCTGGGGATGGTCCGTAGGGTTGCCAGGTGTGCGGTACTGAACCAAAGAGTCCGGTATTTTCACCTCCTGTCGGGTAAAACAATTCAGAAAATACCGGACACCTAAAATGTCCACTATTTTCTGATTTTTTCCCAGCCAGGAGGTGAAAATCCCAGGTACTTACCTGGTTCCGCAGGGGAGCTGATCAGCCCAGAGCAGGGAAATGGCCTGTTAGGGCCAAAAAGCCTCAAAAGCATTTCTTAAAGCGGCCACACTGTTCGGGATTTTTGCTCAACAACTTTGGTCTCCTCCTTTTTTTTCTCAACAGAATTTTTCCCCCAGTGTTTTTTTTGGCGGAGGGAGAGGGGTGTTTGGTATTTTTGGTTAAATCATCTGGCAACCCTAATGGTCCAGGGGCTGGGAGTTTGAGACCCCGGGTGCCTGTAGTAGTCCTTTTGACTTCATTAGGCATCAGGGCTGTGTCTAGACTGGCAAGTTTTTCCGCAAAAGCAGCTGCTTTTACAGAAAAACTTGCCAGCTGTCTACACTGGCCACTTGAATTTCCGCAAGAACACTGACTTCCTACTGTAAGAATTCAGTGCTTCTTGCGGATATACTATGCTGCTCCCGTTCGGGCAAAAGCCCTCTTGCGCAAATCAAGAGGGCCAGTGTAGACAGCACAGTACTGTTTTGCGCAAAAAAGCCCCGATGGCTAAAATGGCAATCGGGGCTTTTTTTGCGCAAAAGCGCGTCTAGATTGGCACGGACGCTTTTCCGCAAAAAGTGCTTTTGCGGAAAAGCGTCCTGCCAATCTAGACGCGCTTTTGCGCAAATGCTTTTAATGGAAAACTTTTCTGTTAAAAGCATTTGCGGAAAATCATGCCAGTCTAGACGTAGCCCAGGAGTTTAGTCATCAGTAAAATGCTTGCAACATTCTAGAACACAGAAGTGCACATACACTGGGAAATCCAGAGGAAAAGGATTAATTTTGGAGTTTCCTATTTTTTTTTTTTAAATGAGGACTCATCTTGGGAGTAGTGGGTGTTTCATAGTATGAAGGCTTTGCAAGTTAGTACCAGGAATTAATTTTATGCCTCTGGTCAGCCTGGAAAAAAAAGGCACAGAAGACTGTCAGTGGTGAAAACAAGGATCAGGGAGACACAAGGAGAAACGGCTTAGAAAAGAGGACAGGAAGGGGGAATATGATTGAGGTCTATAAAATCATGACCGGTGTGGAAAAAAGTAAACAAGGAAAAGTTATTTGCTTGTTCTCATAATATAAGAACTAGGGGTCACCAAATGAAATTAATAGGTAGAAGATTTAAACCAAACAAAAGGAAGCTTTGCTTCACTCAGCACACAGTCAGCCTTGACAGATGTTGTGAAGATCAGGACTTTAACAAGGTTCAAAAAAGGGCTAGATAAATTCATGGAGGTTAGGTCCATCAATGGCTATTAGCCAGGATGGGTAGGAATGGTGTCCCTCGCCTCTGTTTGTCTGGAAATTGATGACAGGAGAGGGATCACGTGATGATTTCCTGTTCTGTTTACTCCCTCTGGGGCATCTGGCATTGGCCATTGCCAGCAGACAGGATACTGGGCTTGATGGACTGGTGGTCTGACCCAGTATGGCCGTTCTTATGTCTGAGGCATAAGCTAGGCTGAACGCTGCTGCTCAGAAGTGATGTATGAAGTAGGTGACACTTCACAGCTCTAATATCCATCAGGCAAGATCTATCAACATCCATCAAGCAACTACGTCTATCACGTCAGACAATAGTACTCAAATCACTGCTACAGAATGTCTCGCACGCCTGAGGTCTACTATGGAAATACTAATTTCTCAGTCTGACTTCCGCTGCCACTTGGCAGCAAGAGAGTTTTACGGAGGTGAAATGCTATACACTTAATTAAACCAAAAAGCACCCTTATTTTTCAATAACCCTTCAGTTAAAAAACTCTCCTGGCTCGGAGTTGTGCGAGAATCCAAACGCTGTCCAATGTTTTGCTAACACGAGGGAAGGATGCGATAGTTTCACTCCAAGGAACTAGTAATTGTGTTGCTGCACCTCGGTGCAACAGGATGAACACAAATCAGAGGTGGGCAACATCCGGCCCCCTGCATAATTTCGTTAGGCCTGTGGACAGTCTCTCTGCCATGGACCAGAAGCTGTGAGCCTGGGTTGCCCCCTGCTGGACTGGGGCTGTGAGCGTTGGAGGTGGTGATCAGGGGAACTCCAGGTGCTGTCCTGGCCTGCAGTTGTTTCCCCTGCTGCTCCCATTGGTTGGGAACTGCAGCCAATAGGACCTGTGGAGGTGGTGCCTGCAGGTGAGGATAGCAAATAGAACTACCTACCCTTTGCCTAGGGTCACAGAGACATGCCGACTGCTTCCAGGAACCACACAGGGCCAGGTCAGGCAGAGTCTCCCTCAGCCCCACTGTGCCATTGACTGAAGTAAGCGACCCACACTCCAACCTCCTGCCCCAGCTCTGAGCCCCCTGCCACACCCTTCCTCTCCCAGACTCCCACCTCACTGAGGGCTGGAGTTTTGCACTTAAAGGGCCAGTGCAGGGCAAATGCCCTGTCACATACAGTCTCTTACGTTACATGTTAGTATCATAAGTAAGGCTCCAATCTTGCAATAAGCAGGGTTACTCCACTACCGTCACATCGACATCAGCGTGAAGGCCCTCCCCGGTGGATACAGCTTCAAGGATCACAGCCGACACAACACCCCAACTTCCATGACCAAAGACTTTACCAGACAGACTATTAAAGTAGACTATTATTCGGGCAAATCTATTTAGTTGCATTGTCTTGGCAAACAAAGAAGTCACTGAACCCTCCACCCCTGTGGCAAAGAGTGTGAATGGTTTTGTGAAATCGGTGAGAACGGTGAAAACAATGCAGACTGTGCAAAGCAAAAGGCCTTAAAGAGCGGGACTGAGGGCTGAACCGAGTTCTTGTGTGAAGTAGAGAGAAGATTTTTTGTATTACTGACCCCAGTGAAAGGAGAGAAGTCTATTTATTTATACATAGGATACACTAAAAGGAAAATCATCCTTGAAAATGAACAGGGAGGGATTAGTGTCCGAGCTATGAGCATACCAAAATCCACATAAACATCCAGAGGAGAAAATGCTAAGATGCAATGCTAGCTTTGAACTTGGGAATCTCTTACATTACAATAACATGCCTGATCACCAACTTGCCACCACTACCACACACGAGAAGGAAGCCCGGTTCTGATGAAAACCCTTTGCTTAGCATGCACTCATCTGAATACAGAGTTGGTGCACTTCATGCATTTATGTTTTGTCAATCCACTTTTACGCAGCCTCTAGAGTTTCAAGTTAGTTCTGTCTATTTTGGCAGATTAAGAGTCAGAGGAAGAACACTGTGCAATGTATAATAAGTCATAAAAATAAATACAAGATTTCTAATTTCATAAAACCCCGTGGTTTGTTTATCTGAGTGAAATTGGCCAATCTTTCTAATAAACCCTCCATGGCCCTTATACCCTGAGTCTGCACTGAGCTCTGTGTTGCTTGGCAAATCAAGATACAGTGGTATAGTCTTGCTTACAGCAAGCTCTTTAGCCTACATGTCTGAGTTAAGTAGAAGGAAACTAATATCATCCTCTCTCATTACCAAGCATTCTGTTCTTTAGTCTTGCCTGCCGGTTTTTTCCAGCTCTAAGATTGTGTTATTGCTTAAACTGCTTAAGTTGCGAATGAGGTTCGTTTACTGGGCGCCTGTCGCTTTTATGATCTGATCTACTTTGAAACTTTAGAGCAGCGACAGGCAACCTAGACGAGAGACTGGGCCACGTGAGTGGCCTCCTTCATCTCCATGGGCCACAAGATTGTCCTAACCAAGACAATTTCCCAGGATAAGGTAGTTTTGCTCACTGCGCTTGTGCGTACTTAGAATTTACAGGGCGTGCCAATTGCACCGTAGCAGTGCTGTGATTGGATGCAGAGGGAGCACACGGCTCTCTCAATGTTATGTGCAATCAGCATGCATTTCACGTGCTCTGCTTTACATACATGTCACGTTAGTAATACCAGTAGGGGGAAAAAATGACATGGACAGAAACTAGCAAAACCTGCTAACCCTGCGCTTGAGCAATGGTAAGCAAAATGTCTTGCAGGGCTGCGCATAAAGACTTAATGGGCCGCATGTGGCCTTCAGGCTGCAGGCTCCTTCTTTATAGGTTGTTCTATCCTCTACAAGAACGCCTCAGCTGCTTCAGGGGGCAGCCGAGTTAGTCTTTACAGGATAAACAAAAAACAGCAAATGGTCTGGTAGCACTTTATAGACTAACAAAACATGTAGATCAGGCCTGCACAAGTCAGAAAGCGGCGAGGGCCATATGACTCCATATGCGGGCCGGAAGGGTAGGTTGTGGGGGGAGGGGTGTGATACTTTATTAATAATTTTTCAATTAAATCAAACAAATAATTTTTTAAATTCTTTTAATTTTTATTTATGAATCATGGGAAAATGAAAAATGGTGATTAATTTGATAAATTTGAACTTTGTTATACTTCGCAGGGTCCAAGCTCCGCACGGAGCAGGAGGAGAGTCTCCGGAGCTCTCCTGGCGCTGTTTAGACAAGAGGCCGGAGGGAAGGAGATAGATGGGGGAGGGGGATGAATTCAAGAGCAACAAGCGGCACGGCGGCAGTCCGAGCGGGGACGGCGGCAGGCGGCTCAGACCATGGAGCGCAGCTGCCCGCCCCTGCTTCTGAGCTCGCTGGCGTTCACCATCGGGGGAGTAGGTGCGGGGCACGCCCGCTCCTCCCACGGGCTCGGCTCACAAGCAGCGGGCTCAGTGCTCGTCTGCCTCCCGGCCGAGTTGCCCACTGCAACGCCCCCTAGGACACCGGCGGCGGCTGCCTCCATGCCAGCCCCGGCCCGGTCGCCTCTCCCCGCTGGCTGCCGCTCTGCAGACGCTCGGTTGCTTCACGTCCAGGCTGGGCTGGGCGTGTGTGGAGGGCGGCGGCAGCCTCATCGGGTACCCTGCAAACTTCAGCCATCGCCAAGTCCGAAAGTAGTCACGGGCCGCACAGTGAGCCCCCGCGGGCTGTATCTTGTGCAGGCTTGATGTAGATGGCACCATGAGCTTTCGTGGGCACAGCCCACTTCTTCAGATGTTCCTTCTTCAGCCATTTGGTTAAAAGCCAGATCTCCAGGCCTAACATCACGGTGTTAGCACTAGTGTGTCTGGGTGCTGGGGTGAGGGGAAGATCTCTAATGAAAACATCAAGGAAACCAGGCATTCATTATTAATGGGCACAAGAGAAAATGCGTAAGAATACCAAAGACAAATAAAGGAAGCTAAAAATCAAACGAAAGACATAGCAGCTTCTTTCTCAGAAGCTCCGTTTATTTGCCTCGCAAAGTGCAAAAAGCACCCACAGTCTGCAATTACCTTCCAAATGGAGAACAAAGGAATGCAGATCATTTTGCACCATTCACACTAGTAAGGAACAGATGGCTTTTCCTCCCATAAGCCACCCGTTCTCATGATTGTTCATTGTTTGTCACCTTCTCTATTGTGAGGCAAGTGTGTTCTTGTTCGCTAGTTCACCCACCCACCTACCACTTTGGGGTTTTCCTTAGCAGACTCTCTTGTGGCCTCTTTTCCTCCAGATGGTCAGTTTCTTTTTGACAAACACGCAATAATTTCTTGATCTCCTAAAGCAATGAACATTTCTTTTTTTACTAGTTCCCACTCTATTGCAGTTCTTCTTACGTTCATTTACTGGTCTTTGAGGGTACGTCTAGATCAGTAGTTCCCAACCTTTTCCAGATGGGGACCCATTTTGATAATTCAGGAACACTTAGTGACCCTGGGCAATTCAAAAAATGTGTGAATGGCTCCTTAAGAGCCACCTGAGGAGACACCTGGCGACTCTTTTGAAATGTAACGGGAACCCCTATTTGGATCCCAACCCATACGTTGGGAAACCCTGGTCTAGATTGTGGGGCTATTTTGGGATATCCCGAAATAGTTACCCCACGTTTTTTAAACGTGCCTGTTATTTCAACATATTTTTCGAAATAACAAGTGCGCTATTTTGGCATCCCTGTAAACCTCGCTCCACGAGGGTTAAGGGATGTGTTGAAATAGCGTGTTATTTTGAAATTTGATGCTGTGTAGATGCGCCAAATTTCAAAATAAGCTATTTCAAAATGTAATTGAAATAAGATATACAATTTGCATAGCACAAATTGCGTGTCTTATTCACCCTAAGAGTCCATAGCAGTCGTCTTTTCGTGCAACATTTGATCAGCTTTTGAAAGCAAAGCAACCTCCCGCCCCCAAATACCTTTTTAGGAAAATAAAAACTAATTTCATGCATGCTTGTTGTAAAGGACTGCTGTAATCTGAATGATCATTCAAAGTAGACTATGTAGACCAAGAGAATATGACATTTCCACTCATTCCTTCTGACTGCGAAATATTTAACAATTCTGCCATTTAAAACAATCCTTACTGATAGCTGAGTTTACACCAATCACGGTGAATGGGGTGTTTCACACATTAGAGCTATTGTTTCAGGCTCTCTGCAAATTCAGATATCATTATATCAGTTACACTCAGATCAGGTCCTGTTTTAAGGTTTTCTTTAAAACCATAACAGCTACAGACTTGCCTTTAAAAAGAAAAACGCTTGAGATTTTGGAGAACAATTAAACAGTCTGATAATGTATGCCTGCAGCTGATGCTCATACGCTATCTAGCTTGCTGGTCCTTCTCCAGCCTCCCAATTTTGGGAAATATTTCTTTAGTGAAAGAACCATGTTTACAACATTATCCATGGCTACGTCTACACTATGAGTTTTCTCTGCAAAATATATGCTAATGAGGGACTCATTTGCATGAGTTGAGATCTCATTTGCATATTTTCTGCCGATCCCTATTTGCGCTGGGGTTTTTGCACAAAAACAAGCAGTGTGGACATTTTCTTTATGCACAAAAGCCTCTTTTTCTGCAAGATCTTTATGCCCCCAAAAATGAGGAATACCAATCTTGCGGAAAAAAGGGTTTTTGCACAAAAAGAAAACGTCCACACTGCTTGTTTTCGCACAAAAACCTCAGCGCAAAAATAGATTGGCAGAAAATATGCAAATGAGATTGACCCATGCAAATGAGTCCCTCATTAGCATATTTTTTGCAGCGAAAACTCGCAGCGTAGACGTAGCCTATGTGTTTTATTTTTTGTTGTTTTTAAAAGTCCAGATATACACTCCTGCGTAATGGTGGGCTAAACCAGCTCTCCTCAAAGCCTAACTTTTTATGCTTGCCCCAAACTATTTTTTCCCCTTCCACACAGTTCTCATTTCTGTGAAAGGTGGTGATGGCTGGGAAATGGCATATTCCAATAAAAGTGCAACTCGGAAGCGAAGGAAATACAAATAACCTTTGACTGCTTTGAGATATAGTTGGCGCATGTCCCGACTCTGTCATCCACGGAAGCTAAGTAACAGTTCTCCCCCACCTGCCTGACTTCATTAACAATCTGCATTGTTTTTGGAATATCTCACTTCCCAGACATCATGACCTTTGTCCTCCCTGCATGTATCAGTCATCCAAAATCCACACTGGCTTTGGACAGTAACTAACGGCAAAGGCACTTTTTCACACTCTATGACCGGGAAGCACATTCACTAAATTATTTTACTTTATCATCAAATATCCGATCTCTTATATGGATGCTCATTCTGTGGCTGCCTTCAGTGTTGCACTTTACATGTCAATAAATAAATTGTTATTGTTATTGTTAATAATAAATAATAATAATAATAATAATAATAATGGAACAAAATCCACACACACTTTACACTTAGGGTTTCCAGGTATCCAGTATTAGCCCTAACAGTCCAGTATTTGCGGCCTCTGTCTGGTAAAAAACCTTTTTCTCAGATGCTTCGGACATTCTTCCAGTGCTGCGTCTGGTGGGGACAGGAGGAGCAAGGGGATTTAAAGGCGCAGTGACTCTTTTTTCTTGTGTATGTTTTTTTTCCCCTCAACGACTTTGGTCCTCTGTGGTTTTTTTTCCCCTCAACAAGTTTGGTCCTTTTTTTTGCTCAACCAATTTTCCCCCACCATGTTCGGTATTTTTTGAGAAAGTATTTGGCAACCCTATTTACACTGCCCACACAAAGGGTCTCAAAGTATTTTACAAACATTACACAACTCCTGTCTGAGGTAAGGAGAGGGAAACATAATCCTTCCCACTCAGATGCAGAAACTGAGCCATACCCATGTAAAGAGACTTGTTCAAATCACACATGGCTAAAGGAGAATACACAACGAATTATGCTTCTCTGTTTTTTTCAACAAACATCACAGATTGTTGCAAATAATTATTGGCCTAGACTTGTTCACCAGCTGTTGTGAGCAAATATTCAATACTGAAGATTCTGAGTGGACACATAGGTCACACTGTATATTTCTGTTCCTGGATAACTGCTCTATAAGCGTGTCCCCCCTCCTCCCCAAAGAAACCAAGTTTCCAGCATGAATATTCTAGATTATAAAACTGGAGATTTCCTTTCTGCAGAGTTTGCCTTAAAATACTGCCATTTCAGCAAATACTCCTGCCAGCAAATTCACGCTAGAATATCTTTGGAAAGTGAACTCAGAACAGGTACAGTCAAAAAGGCATATAACATTGACGTGATTATTCACAGAATATTTTTTACACTATCTGCCCAACTCCTCTCTCAAAGATCTCAGAGGAAACCAGAAATAGAACCCAGGTCATTAACCACAAGTCCAGCCCTCCTCTCTTATTTCCTTGGGCCTTTTTTGTTTCCATGACCCTGCAGTATCTCACACAGTTCATTTATTTTCACTTTCTCCTGTTCAGATCAAAGATCAGTGGTTGAGATAGCTGCTTCATGTACTGAAAAAACAACAAGTGGTCTGGTAGCACTTTGCAGACTAATGAAACATGCAGATGGTATCATGAGCTTTCGTGGGCACAGCCCACTTCTTCAGATGACCAAACTTTGAAACTGACAAACTTTAATCAGAATCAATATTGAAACCTGGTATACAGCTAAAAATACATCAAAAGGACTATCAACATAGGGAATATTCAATTAAAGAGTATGCAAATGAAGCACTGATTAGCATTTTGCCACGCTTCATTTGCATATTCTATTTGAGCCGTTTTTGCGCAAGGGTTTTTTGCGCAAAAACGGGTCAAATACATTATGTAAATGAAGCATGACAAAATGCTAATCAGCGCTTCATTTGCATACTCTCTGCTGGCAAAAGCTGGCAGTGTAGACATAGCCTGACAGTGGCAGACTTTGCAAATTACTTAAATTCTCCATGCCACAGGACAAAACTAAATACCCTCAGGAGGCAGATGCATGAAGAATGAAACAAAATACAGGACTATGTAGCACTTTAAAGACTAACAAGATAGTTTATTAGATGATGAGCTTTCGTGGGCCAGACCCACTTCCTCAGATCAAACAGTGGAAGAAAATAGTCACAACCATATATGCCAAATGGTAGATGCAGTGAGTAATGTTCCGAAAGGGCTTAACTGTATGAAATACGATTGGTTTATAAATTTTTTGCCTTTTTATAATAAAGTGATGAACTTAACCAATAATTTCATCTGCCCTTCTCTACATGTTGGATACTTACTTATTCAGATAAATGAAGCCCAACTTGAACGGCAGGATTGTCAAAAAATTGCAATCGGGTTGCAGACAAGCAAAGGAAAATCGTAGTATTTGCGGTAACAAGATCCACTAACACTTTTCTGTGATTTCTCACGGTTGGCTTCTTGGAGCCCAGGGTAGGGATTCCAGCTGTCAGCTTGATATGCAGGATGTGCAATATCACAAATTAAACAGGACCTTACAAATAAGAGCAGTAGTGGACAACCTGAGGCCTACGGGCTGCATGCGGCCCAGTGGGGCTCCATCTGCAGCCCACGGATCCCCTGGCTGACCCCCTCCCCCATGCACCTCTTCCACACTGGGGCAACGGAGCCTCACACTTCCTACTCCTCTCTCCCAGCACTTGCAGAATGTGAAAATCACCTGATTTGTGCTCCGCCCCCTCTTCTTCCCTTCACGCACAGAGCTGAAATGCTGTGAATCAGCTGTTCGCAGCATTCCAGTTCTGACAGGAAGGGAGAGGAGCAGGTAAGTGTGGGGCTCTGGTGACCTGGTACACAAGAGGCACATGGGGAAGGAGGGAAAACAGGGGCCCACAG